TCACCGAGCTTCCTGTGTTGACAAAGATTCTCTGGACTTCATAGCCCGATATCTGAGCTGTGATCATCAAGGCATCGTTGTGAGGTCTCTCGACCTCTCCCATGTCCGCTGGTCCGAAATTCATCACTGGACCGTCTTCCTCGACCTGTTGTATTTCGATTTTTCCGTGATGCCCTCGAGCATAGGCCTTTCTAGCCCGATTTGAATCACCATCGGTTGGTCCTCCGAATATCATGTGAATCACTCCTCTTTTCTGGGGGAGCTCCTCCTTATCGTGTGTTCTTGCCCTCTTGTGAGGGCTTTTGCTTCTCTCCCTTCGTCGACTGGTTCGTTCTCGATCCTTATAAACGAATTCCTTCAGATGGCCTGCTTTGATTAGTCTCTCGATTTGATTTTTTAGGTGCCGACATTCATCGGTGTTATGACCGTAGTCTTTATGAAATCGACAATACAGGTTACTTTTAGGTTTTGTCGGCCCATCCTTCCTTGTTCGTGGCCATCTAACAACATTTTCGTGTATTTCCTTCTCCATTACTTCCAATATCCTTGCATTCGAGGCTAACAGAGGGGTATATTAGGCTGCCCTCCATCCCCTCGAACGACCTTCTCTTTCGGACTTCGGGGATCTCTTCCTTTCAACCGTCGAGACCGGTTTTCTATCCTTCTTTTCGTCCCGAGACTCAGCTTTTGCTTTAGCCGCTTGTAAAAAGTCAGCTTTGGCTTCCTCGACATTCATGTATTTGGCGCACCTTCCCAATACTTCATCGAACGTCCTTCTGGGTCGTTTTGCTAGGGAATTTCTGCACAGTCCCGGGAGTAGCCCTCGAGTGAGTCTTCCCGACTTAATCTCCTCAGTGGCCGAGGGGACGTCGACACACGCCCGTGTGTATCTCGCCACGTAGTCCCTCAATGATTCCCCTTCTTTTCTGCTGCATACCTATCAAAGTAAGGTAAGACTTTTCTTGGGCTTTTACACTTGCGAATTGGTTTAGGAAACTCGAGCTAAATCCGTCAAAGTCCCTGATGGCTCCTGGGGGCAATTGATGAAACCAATCCTGCGCTAGTCCTCGCAGGGTCGTCAGGAACGCTCGACACTGAACGGGGTCGTTATAACGGTGCAATACTGCCATGTTTTCAAAACTTCTGAGATGTCGAGAGGGATCAGTCGACCCGTCATACCAGATATTGAGCTCCCTGAACCCCTGAGGCAAGTCGGCATCTAGAATATGTTGTGAAAAAGGGTGTCCCCTCGAGCTTCCCGTTTTTCTTCCTTCCACCCGAGCCTGCAGGTCTCGGACCTGCGCTAAGAGCTGCTCCAGCGTGTCGTTTCTGGCTTGTGGATTAACGGTTCTGACAGAGGACTCCTCCTCATCTACCCTCTTGTTCTGCCTTTCATGTGATTGTGCCTGTTGTTCGCGTTCAGGGGGTTGCTGCTCATTTTGAGGTTGTTCGATCCTAGCTTGCTCGATTCGGGGTTGTTCCACCCTGGGTTGCTCGACTGGTGTTTGTTTGATTTGGGCAGCTACAGCTTCGGCAATCATCCTCTGCATCTCGCTCCGTGTTATGGTCAACATTTGCTCCTCACTTTGGGGCAGCAGTCTCTTTCCTAGCTCGAGCGGTCCAGGCTGCTTTCCCAGACTTAGGAGCGTCTCGGTTGACTCACGACCGTTGACTTCTCCGCTCGTGCTCCTCACGTGACTGGCCTCCCCTTGAGTGAGCACTGGGATCTTGACTCTTGGTGGGGTGATAGGCGTTTCTTCCCCCATACGCCCTCCTGACGGCGCGCGTGCCCCAAACGGTGGAAAACCGAACACTTGGAGCGGTGGTCTGGGGTTGGGAATCGGCGGAGGTCGCTTGTCAGTCCATGCCGCCCTGAAATCTTCGTTCAAGTTTTTCTGCGGTCCTTCCTTGTCAGCCATCGGAAACAGATCCAAACTAGGTGTAAAGCTCTTGCTTCCTTCAAGAACTCTCCACAGACGGCGCCAAATGATGGGTCTATTTCCGGATCTGGGGTGAACCGGTGGAAAATCGCCCGGATTTGGAATGAACCGATGAGAACGACCTCAGATATGTCCTGATGGTCTCCAAATTGCTATCGAATCACAAGAACACCTGCAAGAACTCAACGCCGGAGGGATTTCCGGCGTAGAGCCTCCGACGCTCAAGTCAGTATGTGAAAGAGGTGAAGAGAGCTGCTCTAAGAGAACAGCAGCAGTAATGGAAAGGAATGTAGAATGAATGGGACTTAGGGTTTTGGAGTTACCTCAGCTCCTTTATATAGAAGCAAAACATTTACCTGAAGTCCCCAAAATACTCTGGCCGACTTACTGGAAATGTCCAAAATACCCTGGTCGGTTCGCATTCCGTCCACTTCCTAGTCAGCATCTAGATTCTTCCTTATCTTTGGTAGCTTCCTTCTTATCCTTAACTGTCCTTCGATATGTTGGAGTGTACTGGAGTCGTCGAGATCTTATGAGCTTCAAGACTTCCTCAGTCGACTCGGGTATCAACTCGAGTCGACTGGGTCATATTCAATTGTTAGTAGATCCCCACGTGTTTGACCGTCTTTCAAGAGGAAATCCACTTTTGCTAGTCGACATGTGGAAGTTGATTGGGAGAGATGCCTGGATCCTTGACCGGAGATACCATAAAGAGTCTGCGGACAGAATCGACTTCGCGTAAGTCGACTCGGTAATCTCTGAACCGCGATGGTATTGAACCGTTACACGACAGTATGGCTATATCACTGTAAAATCATGATTCTTACATATTTTACTTTTATCTTAACATTATTTTATATATTTGTCAATATTTTTACAAGGTTTATGTTTCCTAGTTTTAAGAAGTGATTTGAAAAATTAAATTTATCTATGATTTATAATAAGATAGTCTATTGAAATAAATTTAAAGTAAATGTAATATTTATTTTTATTTAATTAATGATAATTATTATAACTATATATTTTCTAACAAGTACACATATTTTGAAATTCAAGATTTTAAAATCGAGTATTACTTATTTTATTTTATTTTTATAATTACTATATTTTGATTTCTATTACAATTAAAGTAAATAGTAGATTAATTTATGTAACACATATTACCATAAAGGAACATTTATACTATACATACTACTAACAGATAAAGTTAAATTGTATCATACATATATTTTAATGTATAATTTAAACAAAGTATTTCTATTAAAACTATATATTTGCACTTAACTAATATTTTTTTTTTCCATAAAACATTGATATTTTATTATGTTGAATAACTATTTTTAATACTAAGAAAAATGAATGAAAAAAATAGCATACAAACATTTTAATACATTACTATTTAAAAAATTAATTAAAAAAATAACATACAAATATTTGGTAAATAATAAAAAACAATGAGAACCATAAGTCAATTGAATAATATATTTATAATAAAATAATACAATAAAAAAAAGATTAATATATTATGACGTTGGAAAAAAAACCAGTTAAATAGATAAATGTTTGGTTTCAATAAAAGGTTAGTTCAATTGATTATTTATTTTTTTTAAATTTTTTTATTGACTTTGCATTACAAGAATTTTTAATATTTGTACAGAAAAAAATCTTACTTTTGTAGTTGTGCCAATACATTTATTTAAAAATTTGGATACCGGTAAATTTTTTTTCAGTAGATTAATATCATAAAAAATTATTAATTATAATATACACAAGGAATATTATAAGAAAAAATTGAGTACTATGTCATGACATTCATGATTAAAACATCAAAATATGATTTAAAACGTTTTATTTGAAATTATTTGAAACAATTTTATATTAAGTCATGTGTTTTAATATTTCAGTTATTCTAATTAAAATTTAAATTGTTATTTGACAATTTTGATTGTTTATATTACAAGTTGTAAATGTATTTGGAATAAGACATAATATAAATTTTTGGAAGTAAATAATATAATACTTTTAGAAGTAACATTATTTTTTAGTGGATTGCTATTTACCGCCC